TCAAACATATTTTATATCTTATTGTAAGACATTAATTTTTTTGTCCCACGATTACCAGGATTTGCAGGGTGAATTGTAAAAGAAAATCTCTCCGTGTAAGAACTCGGTTTACTTTTTCCCCGAAAATATTAATGCGTGTAAATAATATATAGGATACTTTCTTTCCTTCGAAAAAAAAAAAAAAAAAATAGAAAAAGTTCTAGATAAAAGGTCTTCGAAATTATCCCTAGATCGATATATATTTGGTTTACATCGAGAGATATATTTTGTGACAGATACATAAAACCGTTAGCAGCGGAAATAAACTCTGAATATATCTACACCGCTAAAAAATGCTAAAGATTAGAGATACAATTATCGCGTAAACTCTATTACGAATATCTGGTTTTTTCGGCGCGAGGAGATTTTCACAGAGTACACACAGTGGAGCCGCCAGTCGCCAGGCGAGTCAAGGGTTACACAGTCGCTGGTAACCAGCTCTGCGCTCGTCGTCATCTCTCTCTCTCTCTCTCTCTCTCTCTCTCTCTGTCCGTGCAGCAGCGCCGAGAAGTGGAACTCGCATGCGTGTGGCGTGTTGTTTGTGCAGCAGGGAGGAGAGGCCGCGGCGATGTGGAGTAGTCTTCGCCGGGCTCGGTGACCAAGTGGTGTTGGCGGGAGCGAGAGGAGAAACGCGGTCGAGGCGGGAAGGAGATGCGAGACGCTGCGCACCAACGGTGAATGGGTGAAGCAGCGGCATAGGTGGGGATGTGATACGGCCGCGAGAGGAACGGCGGCGGGGACGGATCGAAAGAGATATCTGGACTCCATGATGTAAGGAGACAAGGGGTGTGCTCTTACGCGTGTTTACGTTAGCCGGCCAATAAGATGTCCTCCAGTCTGGCCGCGTCACTACGAAAGAGCTTTTCGCTCGGTAATACATGCATGAAAAGAAAGAGAGAGAGAACTCGTGTGTAAACGCACATGCGAGGTGCATCTCGTCTTCGATACCGGTCTTGACAATTGTCTCTTATCTCTCATGGTAGCGGAAAATGGATAATTAATAGCGATATAAGTTGTTTTAGAGGATCGCGTGTATATCTGGCAATCACATGGAGAGGATTACTCTGAAAATAATGGTAATGATGGGATAATATAGGATATTGAAAGAATTTTTTAAGTTTCTCTGATCAAATATTAATATATGTACGTAGTCAAGTTAATCGAATATATTTTATCTGTTATTGTGGTGGATATTAATGTTTCTTTATTGTGGGAAATATTGATCAGAGAAACTCTAATCAAATTCTTCCAATGCATATTGTCTCGCGATTATCATCATTTTCAGGGTAAATTATCTCGTCTTCGATACCGGTCTTGACAATTGTCTCTTATCTTTCATGGTAGCGGAAAGTGGATAATTAATAGCGATATAAGTCTGTTTTAGAATATCGCGAATATCTGTCAATGTGATATATCACATGAAGAGGATTTACTCTGAAAATCATGGTAATGATGGGACAATATAGGATATTGAAAGAATTTTATAAGAGTTTTTCTGATCAAATATTAAAATGTACGTAGTAAAGTTAATCGAACATATTTTATCTCTTATTGTGGTAGATATTAATGTTTTTTTTTTTATTGTGGGAAATATTAATCGAAGAAACTCTAATCAGATTCTTCCAATTCTTTCAATACATATTGTCTCATGATTACTATCATTTTTAGGGTAAATTCCAAGAGAAAATTCTATATACATATATATGTGTCCGCAAGGGGAGAAAGGCAAGAAAGGACATTTCCCAAAATTAAGCCTTTACTTTCCTTTTGAATAAACACTGGAATTAATTTGCACATTTAATATAAAAAAATGAAAAAAAATAACAAAGAAATTAAGAAAGACCAAAAAATATAAGAACAAATTTTAATCATGTCCCCCCTGGAAAAAATCCTGCGGATGATACATATATATATAATTGTGTAGGTACTTTCTTCAACAAAAAAAAAACATGTCTCGAAAGATTCTAATATTTAAAAGAATAAAAATGTTTACGTTTTATAAATATATTACATAATTGAGAAATTAGAAAGACGATATTGAAATATAGATATTTTCAAAAATTCTATCAAACAGATACGACACTTGCAATATTATTAAATACTCAAGAACTGCAATTCTTTTATATTGTTTCTCGTAATCTTTGAACGCGATGAGATATATATATGCCCGTTGTATCACAATAAAGAGTGGGGGAGTGGGATGCGTAATTTATCTTAAAGGAAACATCCTCAAGGTGGACGACCAAGTGTACCATTATAGTGCACGATGATTCAGCTTGTAACGCACGAGTCTTAATGATACAAAACGTACGATTAGATTTCAAAAAAAGTTTCAACATATACAAATGATTAACGATAGCTATCGAAACAAAAAGAGAAAGAACAATAATTCTCCAATATCGTGTATATTTATTCTTACGCATTTTTAAGGTACCTTATTTCAGCTTTTTTCCTTAAATTAAAAAAAAATTTATTTCGATAAAATTATTATAATTCTCCAATATCATGTATATTTATTCTTACGCATTTTTAAGGTATCTTATTTCAACTTTTTTCCTCAAATTAAAAAAAAATTTATTTCGATAAAATTATTATAAGTAAAAAATGACATATCGCGTTCTCGTTATTCTGATTTTCGAGCAGATTAGTTGTATTAAATTTGAACAGAGGCTTCTTCAATATCGTGTAGATCTATTCTTACGCATTTTTAGGGTACCTTGATTTCAGCTCTTTTCTTCAAATAAAAAAAAAATTTATTTCGATAAAATTATTATAAGTAAAAAAATGACATATCGCGTTCTCGTTATTCTGATTTTCGAGCAGATTAGTTGTATTAAATTTGAATAGAGGCTTCTTCAATATCGTGTAGATCTATTCTTACGCATTTTTAGGATACCTTGATTTCAGCTCTTTTTTCAAATAAAAAAAAATTTTTATCTCGATAAAATTATTACAACAAAAAAAATGACATAATATCGCGTTCTCGTTATTGTGATTTTCGAGCAGATTAGTTGTATTAAATTTGAACAGGGGCTTTTATCGGGAAAACATTTCGACGAGCGTATAGAGGCCGATGTTTTTGCCGCGCTTAACGAGGAGATCGATCGCGGGAGAGTCCTAGACTGTACAGCTGATATTTGCCATTTTTGTTGTTGTCGCGTATTCCAAGCTCGCGAGACGGATCGACCCGGGTCCCTTCGACACGGCGCAACTCAAAACGCGTGTCAGATGCTTTCTCCCGCAGTATTTCCCACTGCGCGAGGATCGATCGCGCCCCCATTGCGTGCTTGGTACACGTATCCCAACGTAATTGTCGTATCTCTTGTTGGCTGCTGCGGATTTCCTGCATACGTTTCTTTAACGTCGCGCCCGAGATTCGCGCGAATTTGTCGTTCATCGTAATTTATTTATACATATCCATACACGTGAGGACGATTATTTTCACGACGTCTCTCTTGGCTGCGGCTTCTCGCGAGAAATCTGTTCCATTTGCCAAAACTGTAATTTGAAATACTAAGAATGAGGATTTGTGCGCGAGGGAGAAAGAGGAGATTGAATTAATATATAGTGATAATAATTAAATGTGAATATGAACTTTGATGTAATAATAATTCTATCGGAGAGGAAAACTTTTCTGGCAACTGTGCTTCGTATACTTTTATTCTTGAAAATACAAAAGTAATTCTCGTTTATTTATCTCTGTTGAAGGAAAAAGATATAATAAGATGTGTAAAGTTTTCAGGAATTGTAAAATTATAGAAAGTTTCCTTATTCTCTATGTATTCGAACAATATATTATTATTTTTTGTACATATCACATTTCTACGCTGAAAAAAAGACTAATAAATATTAATAAATATTTTTCACGTCAAATCAATTGTTATTAGTTTCAAATAAATGATTTACTTGGCGGTATTGAAATAAAAATACTTATTCGCATTCAATAATTTTTTTCCAGCGTATCCATCTCTACAATACTTTACGCGCTTCTTATATTTCTATATACATTGTCTGAATCCACCTACCATACAACAGTGGCAGGTCAATAACCGGCCATTATCGAACACTTATCCTAAACCTGACGCAATCGTAATTTCTTTCTACCACATCGCGTATTTTCAACTTTGCGGATAATGAGCATGTAATGATGGTATATCGAATCGATGCAACGCGCATCTCGCGTTTTTTTCCCTCCCGCTACGTTCGATCACTCATTTGCATGTTAATTCGTCTTCATTTATAGTTAGCGTACGTGGAAATACACGGGTCATAATTGCCGTCGATTACGCGGAAAATAGAGAGACCGAAACACACAGAAATGTTCTGTGAAGTTACAAGTGTTTCGTTATCGCGTGACCGGTTAGGTACTATCGTGTGCACCAGCTCAGTCTGTAACGTAATTAGTTTCCGCAAGTATTCCGTCGTTCCGCGGAGAAAAGAAGCGGAGAGCAGACCGGGATTAGTCGATGGAAATCTCGGTGCAATATTCATTTCGTCATTACGGAGAACCTTTCCAAATTTACTTATTAATTACGTACAAATGTTCACGCATAAATATATGCGTCACAGTATCGAGAAGCTAGACATTCATATATGCTGTCATTTTCAAACGTCTCTCATTTGCACTCTAAATATATACCTACGTATGTATGTGTATGCGTGCACGTGTGTTTAGAATATAAAATTCCCGATTAGAATAATTTCGAATTAGAAATTCTTCTAATTGGGAACCTGTCGCTTTTTTTATGATCTCGTGACATAAGCAGAGAAAAATTCCAGGAGTTACAAAATTAAAACACGTAATTAGGAATGCATATTTTTTTCTATATACATATGTAGATGAAAATAAAAATTTACAATTCCCGAAGTGAATTAATTCCCTCGCTAATCGCTCTTTAATTTTCGTCAATTGGCATTGGTGAAGCATGTGTCGTAATGAGAAATCGTACTTTGTTCCGCAGGAGGAGGGATTAACTGCTGGTGTCGGGGAATAAGAGTGAAAATTCCCGGCTACTGAAGTCGGAAAACTCGGATGGAAACGACGACGAGAGGAAGAAGAAAACGTGGAGGCGGCGACACGCAGAGGGTATCGAAAGAGATGCGTCGTCCTGTCGCGTAAAAAAAAAAAAGAAAAAAACGGACGAAGAGGAGAGATGGACCATTCGTTGTGATCTTGTCGGAAGAACGCGATCATGGGACCGGAGAGTGTGTTCCTTTCGACGATTTCACGAATCTTCTCCTACGTGCGTCGCGAATAGTTTTCGGGGTTTTCCCGACTCTGTCTCTTTCTTCTTCTCCTCCCTCTGCGTACAAAGCATAAAATGACGCAAAATCTCCACCGAGTGACGCAGGATTGTGTAAATTTCAGTAATCGTACAAGGCATCTCATTTATATTGATTAAATGCAAGATTTTATTAAAAAAAAATTTCAATATATATTTTTTTAATATAGCGGTTCAATATTATCTCGATTCTGGTTACTCCTTTTTTATTAAGGAGAATCCTAAATGCAAAATTTTTAATAAAAAGAAATTTCAATATTTTTTTTTTTAATATAGCTGTTCAATATTATCTCGATTCTGGTCACTCTTTTTATTAATAATAATCCTAAATTCTCTAATTATCGATCGCGATTATTCGGCATCGATTGTAGTAGGCTCATTAATTTTGGCAAAGTGTACAAATTTGTACAAATTTGGCTCGTTGCCGAAAATTTATCGGGCGAACCGATGGGGTTCCGACCGCCAACGACGGCGATGAAAACGGAGAGGCGACTTTGGTAGCGCGGTTCCGTCGTGGGAACGATAACGAGCTCTCTCCGCCGTGCGGCGGCAACGGGGACGATATTAATAACGGCGATGACGAGTCGCAGGTGGAATACAGAGCGCAGGAGGTGCGCGGTTCAATGAGGAAATTCTCGGGCGCGCGAGGTGCGCCTACCTTGAATGCTACTAGCAGAGAGAAACAGAGGGGACCGCGTATTATGTGTATGTGTGTGTATATACATATATATGTGTGAGAAAGAGACAGAGGGGACGTTGAGATGATGGTAGGGATAACCGAGAGCGGAACGAAATATACCGAGCGAAAACGAACGACGGGCGCAACAACAAAACCGCCGCCGAGGCACGCGGATCGGAGAAATATGCGGACCTTTGTGCGAACAGCTGAACCGGAAGTCGAGCGGACAGCGCGCCTCGTTTAATCGTCCGCCACCGCCGATAGGCTCGGTCGGCTCTCAAACGGCCGACTTCGAAGGCGACGGCGTGTCTCGCGCAATTACATCCAGGTTGACCGAATCGAAAGCTCGCGGAATCGCGAGACATTCTAAATTTTCCTTGATTTTTAACTAACGTCGCGAGGAAACGTATATACCTACGGTGTGTACGGAATATAAAAACTTTTATCGATTTGTATCGATATATATATATATATAAATGCATATGTTGCTGAATTTCACTTTTACGGCGATTTTCAATTTCAATGAATATTCATGAAAATTCTCCAACAACAGTTCCCCGCGATATAGGAAGCAATTATTAATATATATGTTCCTAATTAAACGCGCTTAAAGTAGTAAATTGTATTTGATTTTCATAATATTTGAATATTAAATTGTCTAAATTAAAATCATTAACTTATTCACCGAAGATTACATTTGTACTAGAGAGAGAAAAAAGATATGATATACATACATCGACACATACTTCGATATTAATAGCATCGTGCCTCCATTCCACGTGAAACACGTGCAGCGCCGCGTGTGTCTTCTATGTTCTATGTAATGACGCATATATATACATATGCCTGATGTCGGGTCGGTGCAACGCTCTTCGATTAAACAACGCGTGTCGCGGTTATTTCGTCGTAAAACGAAGTCTACGACGACATCGTGACGCGATTCGAAATACTCGGGATTGCGTAATCGAGGTGCACTAATCTAAGAAACCGAAACTCTTAGTAATTATTTGGTGTGTGTGTAGTCGAAATCTAAATTTGTCATTTCTTACAAGCTTATTCCAAATAAAAATAAATATGATATATATATATAATAAACTAAACAACGATGGGATACCTAAACATGATATAAAAATGAGCCAATTACGCGAGAATATTTGTATAATTAAAATAAATTTGAGGAAAAAATAGATGCTTAGAAAAGAATTGTATAAAACACGAGCGAGCGAACGATTCCTCCGTCTTTCGAATCGGTCATTCGTCTAATCGGTTTTCGTTATTCGCGCTTTCCCGCGCGCGCGTGCGCGTCGCAGTAGCGTGAAGTTGCGCGCGTTCGCTTCGCGACGCGTTCGTTGTCGGACACTATACCGGTGCGCGTTAATTCGTTCGACATTTCCCACAACTCGAATCTTTCCACAGAGATCACAGCGGAAGCGGCGACACGAAGAACAGGCGGAGGAGGAAGAGAAAGAAGAGAGACGTGAGTTTCAGCGATTCTTCCGGGCGGTGTCGTGCACGCGCGTGTGTGGTGCACGTGCACGCGTGTGACAGTGCGCGGGTGCAAAGGGGGGAGAAAAAAAAGAGAAGAGGAAGAAGAAGCGACGAAGGGTGAAGTAAATACACGCAAGTGCGAGACGGAGACGCGCAGGAGGAAGAGAAAGAAAGCGGGCCAAGGGGACGACGAGTGTCCTCCGCGCGCGCGCGCGCGCACGAGACGCGAATTATGCTGCGGAGTGACGTCACGGTGCGAGTCGTCGTCGTCGTCTCAGGGATCAACCGGTCGATCGAATTCTCCAAATAGGATACGCGCCACCGCCGGTGGCCGCGTGGTTCCCGCGGGTGCGTACATATGTGTCAGGGCGCGCGCGTGTGCGTCGTGACTGCCGCACGGAATCATCGTCATCGTCATCGTCGACGTCGTTTGCGCCCGGCCAGGCCGGGCCGGTGAATCCCCGGCCCCTTCTCCGGAATCTTCGACCTGCCGCGGGAAACTTTGGATCCGCTTCGCTTTCCACGGCTGACGTCATTACCGGTGAGTTATTCTCTCTTTTCCTTTATTTTTTCTCCCGCTCGGGCGCGCGATTGTTTGTGTTTGCCCGCCAACAATCGAGAATTTTCGCATCCTTTTGCGAATGGAATTCAAGTGCCGGCGATTGAGGAAAACAATGATTCAGAAAGGTTAGAGTTTTCACGTTGTACCTTTGGAAAGTTTAATAATAAGGGTTTAGGCATTCTTGCATTCTGTGCATATTCAAATGTAAATGCGATTATTCCTAGTATTGATATTTGCACTAAATACCATAATTAGACGTGGAGAAAATTTTCTCTTGGAATTTATTCTGAAAATAATGATAACCATAGGACAATATAAAAAAAATTTAATATGTACATAGTAAATCTTACTACATAGTGCATAGTAAAATTAAAACCAAACATTTCTTATCTTAATATTTTTATTATGATAAATATTCAATCGGATAAACTCTTATAAAATTCTCCCAACACCGTACAGTCTCACGATTATCATGATTTTCAGGGTAAATTCTAAGAGAAAATTTTCTCTGTGCATGGGTTACATCTGTAATCCGTCAAACTTCTTTCTTTTTTTTATGTATATTTCCTTTTTTGTTACATAAGATAGATCGATAAGGGCTAAACTTTAAAGTTTTATTAAACTTTGGAATTTTGGAGTTAATCTCAAAGTTTAAGTTTCGAATCTATATAAAGTATGGATCGTGACGTAACGTCGCGAATTTCGGATGCGTCATAGATAATGAAAGTTATACGCAAAAAAAAGAAAAAAATTATACAGCTGTATAAAAAAAATATTTTTATTTCTCGCGCACTGGTTTTCTTAACTCATAAACTTTACATTTCGGCTTTAATAAAAAAATGAGATATATAATGATGAGATATATAAGATCGCGTCTTCATCTCTACGAATCTCAATAAAAACTGCGGGAGGAATTAAGCGATAAATTAATTAATTGATCGTTATACGTCGCGATGAATATAACATTCGTTTCTTGACGACCGTTCGTCTGGCGTGGCATTAATTACCGCAATGCCGTCGGGAGCGTAACATGCGTACGAAATGCACGCGTGACGTCATTGACGTGTATACACGCGTCGGCGAGAAAGTCCGTAATTACAGTAATTTGGCTGCAGCTCGTGGACGCGCGGTCTAACATATGAAAATGTCGAAAAATAAATACGTCCGCAGCCCTCGGCAAATCCAGTAGCCGTCATTAGTAATATTATTTAGAGTGTTTACTCCTTAAAAAAATATGAAGAACCCGGAATTCTCAGGGGTTTTTTTTGTACTTGGAAAAAACAGAGATATGCGTGTGGAATTTTATTGCGATTTTTTATAAAAATTATCTTAATTTTCTCTTATAAGCGCAAAATTGCAATCCATCTATCAAGTTGTGAATTAAATATATTTAAAATATATCATAAATATATATATTTACAATGTGGAAAGTATTGGAAAATGCATATAAAAAACTTACTTTAAAGAGTTACACTTAAAAAATCTGTAAAAATGTTCTCGTTATCTGGAATATTTTGAACAAAAAAAGTATCTGGAAAATTAGGGAATTTTTAAATAATTTTTTTTACAAGATTGGAGTAGACACTGTCATTTGTTCTGCAGCACATATTTTAATGATCTTTATCGTGTGTGCGCGTATATATTAAGAAATATCTCGAATAGGATAAATTAAAGGAGCATCATTGTTTTCAATTATCCACAATTATCGCGAGCGATACATTTCTTGCTTTGGAACAAGCATTATATTTTTCTAGGAAAGATATTTAAGCAGGGTGTCTAGCAGTCAGGAAAATCCGGACATTGTCAGGGAATTTTATAAATCTAGAATTGTCAGGGGAAAAAATCAGGAAATTTTACTATTTATCTGGATTTTTCATATTATTCTACATTTGTCTTAATAAATTGAAATTTTTTATTAATAATAAATATAACTTTTCCTTGACTCCCAGCACGCTAATTTTCTGTGTTGTTAAAAATCGTGTTCGTTAATTTATATTTTCATCGTCGTGTTATTTTATTTCAATGTGTTTGATAGAGACAAAACTAAAAAATTTGATTATCGTACATAATGCGGATTGTATAATTGATTAAAATTTTTGTCTCGACTTCCGAATCTTTTCATTGTTGACAAATTATCTCAAGAATTTCATGATTTATCATATAGATATATGCAAACGATATATTTGGAAAAAATAATACTAATTGTAAAAAGTGAGGGAAAAAATAAATTTCTGATCTTGGAAAATCTGAAAAAGTCGGGGAATTTTGTTCATCGAGTCTGCTGGACACCCTGATTAAAATAATGAATAATGATCGACAAGAAGTAACGTGAAGATGATCGGCAAGTTTCTTCGCCAAATCGAGGAGGGACGGTGCGGTCTAAAAATGACGGGAAAATTCGTTTTTCTCTTCTAGCGAGCATTTATCCCGCTAACTTCTTTAAACTTCTGACCGCGCGCGAAACCGGACGTGTGTGTCTGATCCTTTCCAGGTAACGACCTGTCGGTCGGCCTGTGTGTTGCGTTTCTCTGCAATGTGTGTGCGTATAAACTCCGCGCTGTGCTGGGTACTCCGTCAGGCGAGTCGGTCGTTTTTCTTTTCCGAGCGTGAGGAAAGATGGCCGCCTGTGTGTACAAGCCGCATAGTTTGCTCGTCTTTCTCTCTCTCTTTCTGTCTCTCTTTCTCGCAGTCAGAGGAGACGCAGACGCTGACTGGCAGGCCGACCGACAGACGGTTTTAGAGAAAGTCCAAGTTAGAATGCACCAGGGTGTATAACGAAGGACATATGTCTATTACCGGGACAGTCATTTTTAGAATACCCGTAAGGAAACACCATTAACGATTTTCGGAAATTTCAATTAGCTTAGTCGATCGTAAATTTCGTACAACTGGAAACTAGGAAGCTCGAGTCTTCGTGCATCCACGTATTACATTTCACATTTCAAATTTCCATCTAAATTAATGCGAAGGATTAATACCTCGATGGAAACATGAAAATATAATTAAATTTAATTTCATTTAATTTCATTTACTATATTTGATTATACAAATAACTTTAGAATTTCGTGATTTCACAAAATTGATTAAAGACAGTATACATTATCATTGAAATTATGTCACATTAAATTTTAGTTTTACATCTGATCTTTTTTTTGACAGAATACATTTTTACGACGATGACGAAATTCGATCGTTTTCTCGCAGCGACAGTTTTGCTGTGGCAAGAGTAGAGGACTCTTTTTTTCTTTTTCCTTTTTTTCCTCACCGCATACTCGAATGAAGTTTCGCAGCCGTGGCTTTCTCTTCGCTGCGTTGGATATAGGTTCGCATCTGGCGTCGATATGTGCGCGACGTTGCCCTTAATTAATTTATTTTCCCTCGTTTCCGCGCGTTGTTTATCACGAATATCCTCGATCGCACGTCTCCCTCACCTTCGTTAATCCGCGGTATCCTCACCGCGAGAAATCAAATTTGAATGTACAACATAATCAAATTAATGATAATTAATGTTAATTTGTTGTTTCAAGCCTGCATTTACTGCTCCTATTAATTAGCACGAAATTGATAAGGGTAGGAGTACTGACCTAATCCCCATATATCTCCACTTTCATTGAACAATATTTTTAACGAATTATAAAGAAAAAAATTTATTATAATTAATTAATAATTAATTGCTTTAAGATTTGACTTGAGAACTTTAATTTTTGTATCCGACAGACGGAATTTTATAACGATGTGAAATCAAAACTGTTTACATTTATAATATTTATCTTGATGTAAATGGAATTATTTTTCAAATTTTCCTAGTTATTTATTACTTGCGAAATTTCAGATTAGAGCAATAAATTCGCCCTCAATTACGCCGTGCATCCGAATTTGATTTCTCCTGATGGAGGTGTCGGGTTAACGGAAGTTTCAAAGTGTCCGATCACTAATATCATCGTGTACAAGATTCACAGACAGTCTACGATCGTCTAATGTAGCCTGGTTAATGTCGGCCAGTTCTAAACTCTAATGTCGCAAAATGATGTAAAGTGACTCTATTGTATTTTCCACAAAGCTAAGTGAGCGATCGAGTTTACGAATAATAAATTAACAAAATTACATACACGGGATGTCTAGCGGCCAGGGAAATCTGGAAAACCGAGTATTAAGAAATTTTATAAATCTGGAATTGTCAGGGAAAAGTTAGGAAATTTTACTATTTATCTGGATTTTTTCACATTATTCTACATCTATCTCATAATTAGAAATTTCAATAATTAGAAATTTTGTATTAAGTAAATAAATATAACTTTTCCTTGACTTCTACGCTAATTTTCTGTATTGTTAAAAATCGATTTATCTACAGCGTGTTCGTTAATTTATATTTTCATCGTCGTGTTATTTTATTTCAATGTATATTATATATTTCAAAATATATTATAACATTGCTCAGGAATTATAATATTGTTCAAGAACTTCATTTTAATTAATATTTTTTATTAAAAATTCATACATTAATTTTATTTAACATGTTTTATTTAAAAGTTTTGTTGTGATATTAGGTACCATTAAAAATTAGTTTATAGCGGCACGTTTGTTTCTCGATTATCATACATAATACAGATTGTAATTGATTTAAACTTTTGTTTTTTTTTAACTTCCGAACCTTTTCATTGTTAACAAAAATATTTCAAGGATTTCATGATTTAACATTTAATTGATTTGTCATATAGATATCTGCAAATGATATATTTGGAAAAAATAATACTAAAAAGTGAGGGAAAAAATTGATTTCTGGTCTTGAAAAATCCGAAAAGGTCAGGGAATTTTTTTCATCGAGTCTGCTGGACACTGATATATATCGCTCACGGATAATCAGCTGACATCTCCCGTTGGCTTTCTTTTCCTTGGCCGCTCGTTCGTGATACGTCACATAAGACTCACTTGCAAAAACACGGTTAATCACAATCACGCGTTAATCACTAGAATATGAT